CAGTAACCGGACGTTTTTATTAAATAAAAACAACGGTTTTTCTAAAGTTGAGTATCAATTTTTACGGTAGCACCCCAAATCAGTTTCGCAAAGTAAAAATGTTTTAGTTTCAAAGACTTTGCGAATAGTTGCGCAACTCTGATTTATACAGTAAGGTGGGGTGTTACAATAAAGTTCAGCAAGAGTTAAGAGAAATTCTTAAGCACCGTACACAAGCTATCGCGCGTACATGGCACCGCACGCTAGTTCCGCCGAGAGAGCCTAACACACACACGTGAACGCCGCACCTAGCGGAGATCATCGAGCAGCGGAGAGGTAATTCAACTCTCCTCTTGTTATGATAAATAGCACCAAGTTAGTTCAATCGTAACTTAAGTCAAGTTCATGTCTTAGTTATGTTTCGTGTACGGGCGTGCGTGTGGCTATAGCAAGTGTATTCATATGTTGGTGTGAAATCCCTCGAGAAATTGTTATGTACTCAGTCCCTGTACATTGTTCATGTACAGTTAGGGTCATGGGTTCAGTAGTATGTTCATGTTTGCTCGATGGTTCGGCCACGGGGCGTGGTCGCGCATGTAGCGCACCACGGGCCGTACATACATGTCAAGTATGTTAAGTTCAAGTTCTTTGAGTACATCATGTTATCTTATTTAGTAAACTATGTTTCATGTTTAGTCATGTAGGAATTGCCGAGAGAAAATGAAGTTTGGTCGTAAAACGGCTTACCACCGTCGGCGGCGCACGGTGCTGATGAAAGATCCGCTGATCGGTGTTGTTATTTATATGTTGGGTGTGAACAAACGGCGCACTCAGGGCCTTCGTTTATCCACGATAAGTGTATCTAACAGACGCACTACGACCTTCTCCTAGATACCGTGACTTCAAGACGCTCTAACGGCCTTCTCTCTGACACTGTATGTAAACACGCACTAACGGCCTTGTTTAACACACGTAAGAACTACAAATTCCCCCTATGAGATTTACTCATCAATTCCAAGACTCAACATTCAACATGTTTATTAATGAAGAGGTACATGGGTATTTATAGATGCAAAATAAATCTAAGCCTAATGGATCTAGATCTCCTAAATCTTGCAATAATAGAAGTCCTAACACTAAAAAGCAATAAAATCCTACTACTACCAAATAACTAATGCTTGGCTTGCACACCAAGCAATTCTAGAAGCTTGAGTCTTGCGCATGTCCAAGTCACCGCCTCTACGAGCGCCGCCCTCGGCTATCCTATTCCTTGGCGTGCGAGGCATCGCGCGCCTTGCCTGCTTCGCACGCGCACGCCCCTGCCTCGCCTAGTCCCACGCGGACTAGGCTTCGTCCGTCTGCCTCGCATGTGCACGCCATTCCTATTCCTTGTAGGACCATGCTTCGAACCCATATCCACTATTCCTATTCCTACTAGGAATATGCTCCCGGTTACATTTCCTGATCTTCCGAGGATTACTCCCGTCACCGATCTCCCACGCGCATTCCGGCACTTAACTTGTAACGCCCCAATTTTATTTGCCAAAATTCAGGATAAATTTTTTGAAATTTATTTTCAAATACAATATTGGAGGCGCTACTTATTCTCAAATCAATATTCAATACTTATCAATCATCAATACTCATTCATCAATAATCAATAATCCCAATAATCAATAATCCAATCTAAGCATTCCAATAATCAATATTCTAGGGAATACACTCCCTATCAATAATTGAACAGGAATTGTCGGGTAAAACATGAACTTACTCGGTCATGACCTCAAATGACTTAAACCGAGCATAACTTGATAATTATATGAATTTCTAGACATGAGCTGCATAAACTGACTTGAACATGATCTAACTAATATAAAAGGATACTGAACATGCAGTTACCTTCTCAATTGCTCGGAGAATTTCCCATGAACGGGCACAATTTCTCGTCTCCGGGCCTATGCGTGTGCGTGTGTGACTAGGGCTAATGTTAGGCTTATTACTTGCTGAGTATAAGGCTTTGCTAATCAGCCCTATTTTCACCATAAAATGCTGACTTATAAAAACTAAAAACGTGATGGATTTGTAAAGGAAAGCTCGGCCAATGGCCATGCACCAAGTGCCGTGCACATAAGGCACTAGGTGGCACTTTGGTGTGCTTACTCATCAAGAGTTTTGCTTAGTCATGCTCTAAGGCTTTCCCCAACCTCCAAATATCTCCAACATGATAATGATGCACGTGAAAATTGAAGAGTCGTGACTCTTGGTCATAAGGTGCGCTAAGCATGGCTTAGGCAAACTAATGATGCATTAGGTGTTAAGGGCGTGTGCGTGCTTAGGCCATGCTCATGACCTAATGCTTGATTGGTGCTAATGTAAACATGATTACCTTAAACATGATTATCCCTTAACCAATCCTCATTAATGTTAATTAATCTTAATTAACATTAAGTTAAGCAAGGTTTAATGACCATTACTTAATTAATGATGGACGATGTACCAAGTGTGAACGCATCGCTGTATAGGAACGACGGCGTTCATATATGGTAACCTTAACCGAATGTACTCATTTGCGGTTATAACTTGACCTCGGAACATAACTCGAATATTCTTAACTTCGACGATTAATCCGAACATTAATATTTCAAATAGTTCGTCAACTTGACTTTTTAATTCCGAACTCATTATGTAAAGCCCAGTTTGATTATGAATTATTGGAGACTATTATTATTATTATTATTATTATTAT